AATGCCCTGTTCTCGAAGTTCAATCTTCCCGCTCCCGCCCTCCTAATATGTCCCAAAAGTTAACCGAACCTAATAAAAGTGCACTCCATTCGTTTCAAAGTCTTCAGACACGTTCCCAAAAGTTTCTAGACTCAAGAAATCCACCGTTCTGAAGTCTCCTGGACCTGTCCTGCCATAAACTTTATAGCATATTGATATAACATTATGGCATTTTTGTGGCATATAGTTCTCCAAATTCTTCAAAAAAGTTTCGTAGGTGTACCGCAGAATGCGATGCAGTAGGTGTACCACAGAAAAATTGAAGCGTTTGTTCGTTCCCCACTGACCAGCAGTGGTATTATGGGAGAAAGTCATCTGCAATTCTCGCGTCACTTTCAAATAGACCAGTCTACATTGGTCGATTCTCTTCATCGACTCTCTCTTTCGTAAATAACTGGGCTACAAAAACGTTTCCGGTCGTCTTTGTCGTATTGGATGATAGATTGTAGCTTCTTCAATCAAACCGTGTGTCGAAAATATCCGAAAATATCTCAACATGGCCGTGGTGATCCAAAGAGAAAGTGGACGCAGAGAATCTATCAACCTAGGGCCTATTGAGAAGTGAGGCGAGTATTTCTCGTTTGCGGTAATTGCAGACAGTATTAGTCCGGGAGTTAGAAGGTGATAGCTCTATTGCAGATCCAGCAACTCATTTAAGAATGTCTGGAGAGTCACGTTCATTCCGAGGTTACTTTCACTCACAATAAGCCCCGCATGTAGCATCACCGTTATCAATCGATATTGGTATAACATACACACTTCCAGTTTTGAAAATATTCAAACCTGGCGCGTATTTAGTTTAATTTTGATGTTTGATTTATAAAGAATAATTGGCCCGTTCTCACCACGTTCCGCTGGTCTGCCGCCTTTGATTGCTTGTTTTGGATTCCCTTTTACTTTTTCTCTAACGTTTCGTATATCATTCCGTACTTCACCGGCAATTTCCTTGCGGTGATCGTCCTTGCTCGATTCTGACATGATTTCGCCTTTTCCGGGTTTTTCTTGTTCTCTGAGAGAGATAATTTTGCTCTCATTTCCGTTCATGTTTAGATGTTGAATCCTTCCCCGCTGGTTGGTATGCTTAGTCTCACATCTTTCAATGTCTTCAAAAATAGCTAATAGCTTTATTAAGAGCTTTGAGTGTGTTGATTTTTTTTCATTTAATTCCGTTATAATTGTTTATCCTCTGACAGATACGCGTATTTCGTCTACTACTTGCAGACTTCATCAGTGCCATGCAGTGTTGAGTACTTGTCACTGATAAAATCTGCAAGTAGTAGACGAAATACGCGTATCTGTCAAAAGATAAACAATTATAACGGAATTAAAAGGAAATAAATCTACACACTCAAAACTCTTCATCTAATAGCAATTACCTGTTCTGTGATTGTTCGGATACCAAACCAAAATTTTTGTAGCAGCCTCTTTTTTGTGGCAGCTCAAACTATAAAATTATGAGCAAATTAAATTCGTTAAATTTGATTCAGAACTTACAAGAAGTGGTCTAATTCTGCTCTTGTGCGCTACACAACCGTTTCCTCATTCTATCTCTTCCTTCTAGTTAGCACGAATTCTCCTGTTCAAATCGTCGCTAGCTGTCCTATACACCTGTTCCACTAATTAATTATTTTTTTTCCTTTTCCAGGTCACTGCTAGGATTACTTACAATTTAATCAGCTTCAACAAAAGAAATAATTATCATTCCTTCTATTTTCAGGTCGCCGACGGGAAAACAGATGCACAGTATAGACGAACCTTAAATATATCATAATTTCACTTATTTAGTAATGAATCCAAGTTTACCTTATATAAATCTAATTACTTTACGATCCGAAATAAATTGCTCACGTTTCAACACTTTTGTGGGGTTTTCTATAAATTCCTCTATAAATTCACTCTATTGAAATCTGCTAACAATATCCATTTGTAAATTCTATTTGGTTTGTTTTTCTCTTCCCTTTCTTTACTTCTGACAACGGTACGAAACGGCAATAACATTAGGTACGCCAACCGCAGCTACGCACACCGTTGTGTTGGCATACCCCAGTCCGTAACATCCGGTAGTTTCTCCGGAAGTTCCGGATTTACGTTCAGACGTCCATCACTGCTAAGTTCGCTACAGCACGCCGGTAGACTCCTCTAGCCGTCCGCACTATCGCTTGCCTCACTCTTTCGTCTGGTCCTCGGAGTACCTCTTCCACGATCCCTCGGATCCAGCTTTTCCGGGTTTTTCCATCCACGATGAAGACCATCCTGTCATCCTGCCCTGCGGTGTTAACAGTGATACTTCCTTCAACGAAAACACATTTTCTTGTATTGCCATGATCATCTGGAAGGAAGCTCACGACAAAAGTCGCTGGTCCACCGAGCACTCGGAATGAGCGTATGAATCAATGTAGTTATTAGTATGAGATGGTGTTATATGCAAAGTACGAAAAGAGAATGAAAGAAATACGAAAAGGTATTAGTTCCAAGAAGCGATAGTTTCATTGAATTCCCCAACTAATAATACTCACGCAAAGTAATAAATAAACTATATTGCGACTATATGGCTACTTCGGCACTCAAATGGCCGTCAGAATGGTTCATCGGTTGCGAAGTGAAGTGTTTCTGAAAGTGATGCGTTATATTTCTCAATGTTTTGAATTTTTCCTCACGTTGCCTCAATATTATAATTTATAACACAGACAAACACCCAACAAATTGAATATTTCTCATTGTAAACACTACAGCCATCTGTCATTTACAAGTGTGTAAACGTCAAATGCAAGGGAATTGATTATGCGCGCCACAAGTCGCGGTACTACCATAGAGGTAACTCTAAGACCAGAAGGTCCCGAAGATACGTACTCAACTTTTTAGCTCAGCTCTGGTACTATCTTCGGTCCCAAGCTAATCAATGCACCCCTCGAAACATAAGAAAATCCATGAACCCCTCATTTTATCTGTCAAACTTTCATAGCAAATCAAAACAAACATAATGTAGTACTAGAATTTCGACTAGAATGGGATACGTTAATCGTTTGCTTGGGACCAATAGGCTAGTCAAGTAGTGAGCCAATTTAAAATCATTAGTTTCGAATTGATTGTTGGTACTACCAACTAAGAAATATTAAAATTTACCGTTAAAAGCAATATCGATGAGCATTTTGAGAGTGTTATGTCTGCTTGTCTGTTATCATATCTTTATTATCGCAACTTCGTGTAATTCGCGAAAGTACTTGTATTTTTCTCAGGCACTTTTGATCTAACTGCAATCACTCTCTCATACTCGAAATGTGTCACGACCAAATTGGTACAACGACGCCCTTACTCTCTCTGTAACCGAAGCACGGAAGCTGTTGCCTAAAATGGAATATGTCAATAACGGAACGTGCCAAAAACAAAGCACTACAGTATTAGTACAAATATGGATCATTTTTTCTACAAATAATTTTTGTTATCAGAAATTATATTTTGTAGTCCAGAAAATCATTTCCTTTGCACAATTCACATAATTATTTCGAGAAAAAAAATTCAAAGATTTTATTAATACTTCAATGCTTCATGTTCTACGATGTTGAAGTGTTATTTTAGAAAATTTAGCAATTTTGGTATTCTTTAAAATAAAGTTTTATTTTTTTTACATAAATTTGAATATTTTTTTACAGTGTGCATTTTTATCTGAGGAGACAATTCCGTTTCTTACAACTTTATGTCAGACATCATTTCAATTACACACTTAGAAATTACTAATTTTACCCGTGACGGAATCCATCTTTGACATAAAAGATGAGACGTAAACAAACATTTCATTTGATATTAAGTACTCCGAGACTGAAAATTTTTTTGCTCGACGAAAAGTACGTTTGATTCAGCTATATTTCGCGTCTGTTATGACGTAAATTTATGTCAAAACTGACGCTCGTATATGTCACTCTCAGAGCACCTAAATTTACATGATTTTTTCTTAGTGTGTAGATAGTCTGTTTTCGAGCGTCGATTTATTGAATAATTTCGAATACACCATTTTGAAAAATTAGGCGTAAGTCAAAATGTTCGAATTCCCGCACAAACTTGGAGAGGTAAAATCTAAAATCTGTCTTATCAGTTTTGCGATTTGACCTGGAACTGCTCAATTTGCTTTAATGTTCATGGAGAACGCATGGTTATTGTCCAGATGATGGCAAAAACTATTGGCTTTTCGTTTTTCCTTCCTACTCGCCTCGTGCGATTTAAAATGCAACATGTAAATTTACTTGAGCGCTAAACCGTACTGATAGAATATTTCAAGGCTCACAGCTTATCTTTTATCGTAATACATGTCACGCAACAGTTACGGAATATTCTATTCATCTGTACGCTCTGTACTCCTCAATTAAACTAGGTAGTGTTAATCCATATGTTTTATGAAAGCATACCCATAAATCAATTACGATTGAAAGTGAAACCATTCACTGCCGGCTTCTCTAGAAAGATGCTCCGGAATTTGCACCCAGCTGCGATGGATACTGAGGGCGGCCGGGAATGCCTTCCATGTGCTAAGCACATTGGTTGTGCGACTGTGCTGTGACTATGTTCAGAATCAATTCATGAATGTAAAGTTCAACTCCGATGAGTTCCCCTGTTGCTGCTGCGTCGTTGGTACACTGGTTCTAGCAGCGTGCTTTCTTCCTTATCAGTTGGTTTATTCACAGAGTGTGGAGGAACAAAAATGCAGCAAAATCAAAACATTGGCGCGGTGGGTGACCGACTGCACGACGACGACGGCCGGCAACAGGAACAGACGTACGGCTGGCCCAACAAACGGGTGGTCACTCACCACTTGTTGCTTGCATAGGTTGGTGGGTGGTGAGGAAAAGCATAGGCAGGTACTCACTACTACCATCAACGGAGGCGGCGGTGGGTGTGTGATCGTGCATAGCCCATTCGAGGCTCTTGCGGCATGCATGTTGAGACTGTTGGTCAGTCTAGATCGAAACTCGATACGAAGCGAACGCGTTTCGAGGAACCGACCTCTCTCCCCGGAAGTGATCGTTTTTTGGTGTTTGTGGTGTGTGCTGATCCTGTTGGTGTTCTTTTTCTAACCATACCTACTTGCAATTATTACTATACACTACTCCACCGAAGACCAGATTGTATACGAGAGTGAGAGCAGGAGCAGTCTAACTGCGAGAGAAGGAAGAAAGAAGCCATAGCATAGTGCGGTGTGTAGTTGTGAATAAGATAAAAGTGTTTGAACTTGGCAAGGCGAAAAAGAAGTGAATCAAGAGCTAAAGTTATCAGTCAGTCTATCTCTAGTGTTGGCGCAGACGGAAAACGAGAGCAGTGAGAGAGCAAAGTGATCGTTATTTTTAATCAGTTGAATAAACAACAATTGGGTGTTTTAAAATAATAACAATAAATCATCGAAAATTGCGATTCCAAGTGACTGTGTTAGTGTGCTGGCAAGAGTAATGCAAAATTTCTAGTGAAGAACCGATTAGTAACTGAAGAGGAATAGTGTTTCGAGTATCAATGGATTAACTGTTTAAATGCATTTGGTCGGAAATAGTGTGTGGTTGTTATTATAGCCTGTCGATTGAGTTGAATAAACACTTTGATTGTGACGTTAAATGGGACCCCGCTATGCGAGAATAAAGACACGCAGCTTTGCTTCAGCAATACTGGCTCGCAGCTTGGTGTAATCAACTTTTGAGGGTTCTACATATCGCCACCCAATTCATGCAAAAAGGCACGGAAAACAATTTCCACAGGGTTAGTATTTTGATGAATCCCGTCCATGTATTGGTATAAAACGTGTATTCGCATGTGATCAGTTCGCGTACGCCAGCAATACACTAACGATGCTTTGTCAGCGCAAATTACTGCTACTGCGCTGACATAAAAAATCTTTGAGTGTTCAAAAAATAGCTTTTACGGTCATTTGCCACTGCCAAAAACCTTGTCGCCAAGTCATATTCCACGGAAGATGGTGATCGCAGTTTCGGTTGCTGGTGGTGGTCGTGCTCAGGCGCACACACATGCGGATGCGATCGTCATCGCCGTCTATCGGTCTTATTTGCATTCTACAAGTCGCTTAAGTTGCACCACCACCACTGTGCAGCGGTCAACATTTTGTTACTCATACACTTGAACATCGATCATGTCTTACTACTCTCATTTTGAGATTCTCTGCGGGTGCTTCGCACGATTGGTACCAGTGATAGGCTCAGTCAGAGCTGCCACAATAGCGAATGTCATTTTATTGTTGGTGTTACTTTTATTGTTGTTGTTGCTGATGGCTGTAGTTGTTGGATTCGTTTTGATAGCTTGGATTGCGCTGTACTTTCTCACCTACCTAATGGGTTTTTGATTCATATGAGGATCGCGTAGGAATGTCTGGTGCTAAGTAATTTGAAAACGTTCAATTTAGTTAAAATTGCTGTTTTGTTTCCGGTCATTCTATAAATAGTTATCATACTCGAATATCATTGCGAGCATAGTTTTTGCGAAATGAATTCGAGATTTTGCACATTCCATATTTTAATTAAAAAAATGCTACGTTATGAGAGTTGATAAGGTATTTCAATGGTCATAGAACAATTATTAAAACCAGCTTTGTGTTACAGCTAGTTCTGAACTCTTCGTGCTATCCGAGCTGTTTGTGCTTTATCTCAACAACATTAATCATTGGATTTGCTTGGACCTACTGTGTCGAATGTGTTTATTGCTTCAAGTATTCTTTTCGATATTTTTTTATTTCAAATGCGTCGTTTAGTTTGATGCTATCTGATTATTGATATCAGTGTCTTAAAATTGTACTGTTTTGATTCAAATACATTCAATGAAACATCATACACCGTTGTATTTACCGTTTATACTATCTAGGACGATAAGTACTGTTTCGAACGAAAATTAAAATTTATTTCACACAATAGAAGTGATTTTCACTGAGTCTGTTTCTTGGTATCATGCTTGCAAGCCAGAAAGCGTCGCAATCATACAATGTGTCTAGAGAGGAAAACTTTTGTTATGGAGGCGTGGGTCTAGTCTTGGCTGAAATTTCTCAATTTTCAGACTTGGTTCTTAAGACAATAATCAGTTCTTTCTTATTTTTTGTGTAAAAAGCAGCGCGAAATTATGCCGACTCCGTCTCCGACTCCTAGATCAACAGATTGAATTCAGATTGAAAATAGTATTGCTCTGAATCTTCATTTTATATGCTCGAACCATGAAATTTTGGGATATAAAAACCTCTTTATTAAAGGAATTTGAAATTTCTATAATGCTGTCGTCCTGTTGGCTAGGAAGTTCGTGCATTGTTGTTAGTTTTCCAATGAGCTTCTAATTGTGCTCCGTAGTGCTTCTCGGGATCTTAATATTTGTTAAGGATGGTCAGCAAATGATTTCAACCAATAATCAATTGTTAATCATTATATTAACTTCAAATATGTGTAAATATTGGAAATTTAGTTAAAATATATGGTTATCAAGACGTCAAATGGGGCATATATACACTGGGGGTAGGGGGATGGTTTGCGAGTGTGTTCGGTCCATGCAAATTTCATTTGGATACTTTTAACCGATGGGGCAAATCAGTAAAAAGTAAGTAAAGTATTGTGAATAAAATGCGCAAAATAAGCAATGCGTTGAAAAATACATGACAGTGTATCAAAAATACACTCAAAACATGTCAATGCGCATTAAAATGCGTAAAGTATGCCAATGCGCTTCTTAATTTGGTGATGGTCCCACCTTTTACTTCTACAAAGGTTTGAACTGGACGAGTTATCTTCAAGATAATTAAATATAAACATTTTAACCAGGTTTGCAAACAAAATCGAGCTGGTTACAATTACAGATATAAATCCTGTTAAATATGCTATAGGCATCAACCAAAAACATTCACAGGTGTAACCAGTTATCAAGAGTCCAAGTATACTCCTCGACAAAACTTCCATTTACAAGTGACCTGGGATTTACACGTATAAGCTTCAGCAGTGCCAGGGCTATATGCAGGAAACTACTTCCAGTCATTTATACTTGTGTTCCGCGCACGAGACTCAAACCATTGCAGACTACTCCAAGTTATATTTTTACTATTACTACTAGAACAAACTAAAAATCTATCATCACCATCGTGGCGAAACATGTAGTTTTTGGTATACATTACTAAAACGTCTTTGTGACTGTGTTCACACAAAATAATCCGTTAGAGATAAATTCGTTAAGATACATTATTTATCAATTCATAAAAATATAACTGCTCAATATCCCTCCCCTTGGCTAGTATTTGCACCTTGCTGCTGGTGGGTGGGCTTAATTTCATGCTTTATTGTGGAGTGTTGGAGACGGTAGGTTTATGGCCGGCGATGCTGGCTCATGCCGCGATAGAATGGCGCCATGGGCAGGCGATGGGGATTACTAAGCTTCCCCTGTTTGAGAGCCGCGTTGTAGTACGCTTATGTATAGGCACTGACGTTGCGTGCGATACTGGCGGGTTTTAATGCAAATCAATCTTATTTTATTTATTTTTACGCAGATAGATTTATTTGGGTTTGCAAGGGAATTATACTATTGAAATATTTCAGAAAGTGTCCAGCAGTGCTCTTTCTATTTGCGTGACAAGCTTTCATTGTTGTTTTCAGTGAAGTATTACTCAGGGGACAATGTTAAACACCATTTTTGTACATGGTATTGTAACTTATATTATATATGCTTCATTTTGATTAGTGATAAGTGTTTGAACTATGGCTCTGGATTTCCATTGTGGCGTGCTTCTATTGTGACATACCCATACGTATTTTTGTGGTGCAACACAGTTAGGGAACTAACTTCAAAGAGAAGCACTTGAAGACGAACTGGGACGAACTAAGATATAATAAATATAGATCTAAGTGAAAAGTACTTGAAACACGTTAAATTCAGACGGTCTAATGACATTAAGTAGATTAACAAAATAGTGAAGATGCGAGGGGTTTGCTTAGGGAGGCGGAGTGATTTGAGATTTGGGCGTGGTTGATTTTGTGGACAGGCGCTTCAAACCCCGATTTCTCGCGAATAAAGGGTGATACGGTCAAAATTTGGTCAAGGGAAAACGCGTGTAAATCGGTGAAATCGTTTAGTTAAAAAATCAAATTAAATTTCTTTTTCAAGTTCAATTAGTATAAAATTCAGGAAAAATATTCAGTTAGGCTTCCGCTTTTCCAAATCCGAATTGCCGGGCCTTACGCTTGACCCCTGCCATCGGATTTTGTACAGCCACCTTGTCCACCTTCTTCGCCGCAGAAAGCCAGTTTGCCTTGAACTGCTGCTCGCCCTTAGCAGTTTTTTTGGTCTTCTTTAGGTTCCGCTTGACAATAGCCCAGTATTTCTCAATTGGGCGGAGCTCTGGCGTGTTGGGAGGGTTCTTGTCCTTGGGAACCACCTGCACGTTGTTGGCGGCGTACCACTCCATGGCCTTTTTACCGTAATGGCAAGATGCCAAATCCGGCCAAAACAGTACGGAACAACCGTGTTTCTTCAGGAAAGGCAGCAGACGTTTATTCAAACACTCTTTCACGTAAATTTCTTGGTTGACAGTCCCGAAAGCTATGAAAATGCTGCCACAGGTACAGATGGCTTGCCAAACCAGATATTTCTTTGCGAACTTTGACAGTTTCATGTGCTTGAAAACATCTGCTACCTTTCCCCTTCCTTTTGCCGTATAAAATTCCTGTCCCGGAAGCTGCTTGTAGTCGGCTTTGACGTAGGTTTCGTCGTCCATTACCACGCAGTCAAACTTCGTCAGCATCGTCGTGTACAGCCTCCGGGATCGCGCTTTGGCCGTCGTATTTTGTTTATCATCGCGATTTGGAGTCACTACCTTCTTGTAAGTCGATAGTCCGGCTCGTTTTTTGGCTCGATGCACGGTTGTAGACGATACACCCAGCTTATTTGCGGCATCTCGGAGAGAGAGGTTAGGGTTTCGCTTGAAACTACCGGCAACTCTCTTTGTCGTCTCAGCGGCTTCCGGTTTTCGATTTCCCCCCGATCCAGACTTCCTGGCTGTCGACAAACGTTCCCCAAGCACTTTAATTACATTTGTAACGATTGATTTGGCAACTTTTAGCGATTTTGCCAACTTTGCGTGCGAGTAGCTCGGATTTTCGCGATGCGCGAGCAAAATTTTGATATGCTGCTCTTCTTGCTTGGACGGCATTTTGACAACTGAAGAGTGAATTCCAAAATCAAAATAGGAACAACATTCTACACACACACACACACCTTCAAAATGAGGGGTGTTCAGGTTTTTTAAATGCAAAATTGAAAGAAATACGTCAAGTTGATATTGACCAAATTTTGACCGTATCACCCTTTAAAAGTTCAGCCTAGAAAACTATCAACACGATCTGGTAAAGGAATGACATCTATATCATCTGGTATACTTTATTCGCGAGATGGAGCTTTTATTCACGAGAAGTCGGTGATTGACGTGTTTGTTTTCATGATTAACTAATTTGAAACAAAGCTCAATAGTAAAATAAGTAGAATATCTAGAGAGGAAATCAAAATTTATCAACTTGCCAACATAGGCTATCACATTCATTTTGGTGGAACTCTTTAAATGATTTCACTAGCTTAGAGCATATTTGAACTTTATACACTGATGGTCATTTCCCATTCCTATGCGCTGAATCCAAAAATGTTGTCCAAAAAAATCTCAGTAGGATAGTTTTCGAGATAAAGTCTGGAACGCGCAAAAATAGGTTAACTTCAAATTGGTGTATTTCAGT